TATTCTATTCTATTCTATTCTATTCTATTCTATTCTATTCTATTCTATTCTATTCTATTCTACTCTACTCTACTCTACTCTACTCTACTCTATTCTATCGTCTCCAAATTCCTGCATTATCTACATATTTAAGAGGCCTGGGGATTTAGCAGCAGCCAAATTTGTACAACATCCTTGTGGCTTTATAACTCTTGCATAGTTCTGCTTTTAAATTTTTGTTTTTTAAATCTCCATCCTCAAACAAAATGCAACAAAAGCCAAATCATTTGAGATGTCACTATAAGGAACCAAATTACAGATGTTTTTTGACTTACAACAATTCATTCAGTGATCAGTCGAAGTTACGGCACTGAAAAAAGGGTGACTTAAGACCCTTTTTCACACTGTTGCAGCATTGCCATGGTCACATGATCAAAATTCAGACGCTTGGCAACTGGTTCCTATTTACGATGGTGTTCGCAGAGTCATGCGATTCCCCTCTTGCAACAGGCAAAATCAATGGAGAATCCTGACTCGCTTAACAACTGTGTTGCTAATCGAACAACTGCAGTGATTTGCTTAACAACGGTGGCAAGGGAAGTCGTAAAATGGGGCAAAACTCACTTAACAAATGTCTCGCTTAGCAACGGACATTTTTCAGGTCCATTGTGGTCGTAACTCAAAGGCTATCTCTAGCCAATATCGGCATAAGCTCGGTGCTAATGTGCAAAATTACTTTTTTCGCCCTGTGTTTTTTTCCAGCCCCAGCGAATTTTCCGATCGGAATTATTTGAACCAAATGAACCGAGAAAGCTGTGGGAGGATGTGGAATTAAAGGCATTAAATGCATCTTTTTTAACATTTCGGAGATCGGATTAAAAAAAACAACGGTGGACTTTTGAGATCTGAGAGACTCAAAACATGCCTTTTGTTTCTGAAGAACCTTCCTGTTTCAAGACTCCTTTTGTTTTTGAATAGGCAGCCAGGTTTTATATTTGGAAGAAGAGGGAGATATTTAAAGGCAGTTCAGGAAGCAAAAACCCAGCAGACACGACACTAAACGAAGGCCGGGAAGAAAGAGACCAGGAACAAAGCAGGGAAAAGATTAATGGTTATTTGAAAGTCAAGGACTTCTATCCTTTGATGATAAAATCCAGAATAACTACTGAGCAGGAGTTGATCTCTTGATCCTGATGAATCTGGAACTCCTGCAAGGTTTGTGTCTGTCTGTCTGTCTCTCTCTCTCTTTTATTTATTTCTCTCTCTCTCTCTCTCTCTCTCACACACACACACACACGCTCAGAGGGTTATATAAACTTTCCAGATTTGTAAACAGATTTCCAAGCGCTCTTATTGCTCAGAATGTAAAAACATTAAGAGGGAAATTGATGTTTGTGCTCCCAACAAAGTCCAAGGAATGTAAACCCATTTCCTGTGTCTGCTTCTCCATCTTCCTCGAGCATTATAAATACGGCTTTAGAGAACAGGCAGTTTCTTAGGTAAGAAGATAAACTTGGCTTGCAAGATGGTTATGACACTAAAAATACCGAAGGTGGTTTTGGAAGAATGGAATCAGAAAAGAGTAACCACAGTATCAACAACTTCAGTAGAGGGGTCTGCTTCTGTGGATAGATTATGTCTAGAGAAGATGTTATTGAGGACATAGAACAAATTTTATTTGACAAAATAGAGATGGTACTGAAAATGGATTTATGTCAGACAGGCCAGGAGAATGACTTAGAAAAGGACGTTTCGCTGGTTCTACAAAAGAAACTGGCTCAGGTTCCCAAATGTAAAAAGGCAAATACAAATGAGAAACCAAGCAAGCAATCTGGGTAATCTTTTTTCCCTACTGGATTTTCAAAAGAGGATTGTTAAAGCCTTGAAGAACTCTGCAATTCTTAAATAAAATTCCCAATAAATAAATAAAAGGGGATACGGTATAGAACAACTTCAATCACTAGTTTTGGAGGGCATCTGCTGCCTCTTGACGGTTTCTTTTGCTTGGCTCTTTAACCATGGTTAAAGGTGCGTCCTTCAAAAGACTATTGTTGTTGGTTAACACTAATTCAATTTGAACTCAACAGATACCCCCGGGCTTGGCTTCTGAGTCCTTACCTCGGCCTCCTTCTGCTGAAGGATCCTATCTTTGTCCATGACTTCTTCTTCCGCAGGCCTGTGAAATATAAGATGGACCACAGAATTAAAGGCAAAGAATAAGAATTATCTCAGTTGGACCAAATTGAAGATTCCCTGTACCATAGACTTTTTCCTCCTGTAAAACCTGGCAGGGAAAGAGAACTATTGAAAACTCAAGATTCGCTTTTCTCGCCATGTACGTGTATACATCCAACATTAGACTGTGTTGTTTTGCTGTATTACATAATATATGTGGGTATTTGCATAACTTTGTATTTATTTATTTAGTCATGTTTATGTAGTGTATATTGGAGGTGAAGAGCCATATGCAACGAAATTTCCTTTTAATTTATGCCGATTACTGTACATTCAAAGTGACAATAAAACTATTCCATTCTATTCTATTCCATTCCATTCTATTCTAATTTCTATTTCTATTCTATTCTCTCTTTCATGTGTATCTTTTAATGCACAAAGGCAAGAACTACACCCACACCTACGGGCTCAGTCCTTTAATTAAAATATATATTTCTGTACATGCTCTACATGTGTCAAAAGAGAAAGCAAAGGACTTTGTCACTAGTAAGGTGCAATGCAAAACAAAATAAAAAATATCAAAGAACCACCATCCACATACTGATCAGGTAAGATCAAATTAGAAAAGAGCCCGTAGGTATAGATTTTTTCCCCAGAATTCTTTGTAAAACAAGGTGGCAAAATTAAAAATATGAGAGGAGGAGGAGGAGAGAATGAGCTGGATAAACGGTCTGATTTTAGAATCTGGTGGTGTCTTGAAGACATATCCTGAATAAGCCGGAAAAAAAGAAAAAGGTTATGCAAGGATACATTTGTCAGTTTTTAAAGTGTCAGGAGATTCATTGGTGCTGGACTGTCAAAACGCTGAAGCATCTACACCTCTGAAAATAGCCTGCTCTATGACAGCCTTCTGAATTTATAAGTCGTGGTCTTTGTTCTCACACATAGGGACAATCTCTTATTAAATGGTATTTCACGCATCCCTCCTAGCTGGAATCGCGATCTCTGGGGAGCCCCCGCCATCCCAATCCTTATTTTTGCTGAATCTATAAATGAAAGGTAAAGGGTTCACCTGTCCAGTCATTTCTGCCTCTAGGGGGCAGTGCTCATCTCCCTTTCTTAGCCTTAGACCCCGGATGTCAAACTCAAGGCCCACGGGGTCAAATCTGGCCTGCGGGGTGCTTAAATCCAGCCCACGGGGCGAGCCTGGAAATAACGTGAGACCGGCCCGCGGTGCCTCTGGCAGCCAAAATGGGGGGGGGGGGGGGGGCTGTGTGAGGCCCCCCTCCAACCCATTTTCAGCCTGGAGAGGCCAAAATGGGCTGCTGGAGAGCCTCGCATGACACACATCCCCCTCACACCCCATTCTGGCTGGCAAAGTGCTCCAGGAGGCGTCCGTCCCATCCTCCTCATCTCCTCCCCCCCCCCCGACCCCACCGGCCTGGCCCACGGAGAACCACAATGCTGAGCCGGCCCTCGAAGAAATCCAGTTTGACACCCCTGCCTTAGACCATGGTCAGAGGATCCAGCATCAGAGGTGGTATTCAGCTGGTTCTGACCAGTTCTGGAGAACCAGTAGCGGAAATTTTGAGTCGTTTGGAGAACCGGCCAATGCCGCCTCTGACTGGCCCCGCCAACCCCATCTATTCTCCGCCTCCAGAGTCCCAGCTGATCGGCTGGGTCTCCTTGGGTTGCCCTGCACAGGAGAACGGAGCTGGAAAGCAGGCTAGTGGGGTGGGAGGGAAGGGGGATTTTACAGTATATCCTTCCCCTGCCACGCCCACCAAGCCACGCCCACAGAACCGATAGTAAAAAAATTTGAATCCCACCACTGGTCAGCACGATTATACGCCGACAGGCAATAGAATCCTGTTACCTTCCCACTTATTTAATGACAGGCAGTCTTTGACTTACAACCATTGATTTAGTGACCATTCAAAGTTACAACGGAACAAAAAAAAAAGTGACTTATGACCATTTTTCACACATGACCTTGGCAGAATCCCCATGATCACCTGGTCAGAATTTGGATGCTTGGCAACTGGCTCGTATTTATGATGGTCACAGTGTCCCTGGGGGGGTCACGTGATTACCTTCTGCGACCATCTGACCAGCAAAGTCAACAGGAAAGCTGGATTCACTTAACAACCATGTGACTCACTTAACAATTGCCGTGATTCACTTAACCACTGTGGCAAAGAACGGTTGTAAAATGGGGGCAAGACTCACTTAGCAGCTGTCTCCCTGAGCAGCAGAACTTTGGGGCTCAACAGTGGTCATAATTCAAGGATTACTTCTCCTCGTATCTGCATGCTTTCGAACTGCTGGGAGCAGTTGGTAGGAGCTGGGGGCGAGAACGGGAGCTCACCCCATCACCCGTGCTTGGGTCTTGAACTGCCCACCTTCCGGTCTACAAGCCTAGCATCGTAACCACTTGTTGTGGTTAGCCAGCAGCAGGTGTGGATGGCTGAAGGGAGCGAGGACTCAGATGAGGGGCCGGGACCATTAGGGAGTGAACTGCTGCCTTCAGAGATTGTGGGGGCTGGCCGCAGCGATGAGGTTCCCGAGGAGCCTGTGCCAAGTGTGCATGTGCTCAGGATTACTTGCAGGAAAGAGCAGCTGCAGCAGCATGGACGACTCGGGAGTAAGGCTGCAAGGTAATGGCCCCTCCTTCAAGAAGATAAAAGCCAGCTGTGAAGTGAACGTTCTTTGCAGGAAGCAAAGACATTTTGAAACTCAGCCTCGTGGACATTGCAGTATCTTAAGTTGGTATTTGAAGACTCTTGTGTTGTAAAATATTTCTTATCTGTGATTCTTGGCAGCCTCGCACAGTTTTGGCAAGGTTTGTGCTTATCAAAGTTAATTAGTTTGCAGCAGCCTTTTAACCAGGGATTTGTAAGAATCATTAAAAGGTTTCTGTTCCCTTTGGTTCGTGTTTGTTTTATTGGAAAAGGGTTTGGGTCAGAACACCACTAGGCCGTTGTGTCACTTGAATCTATAGCTAGTTTCTGTTAATCAAGCCTCCCAAGGGGTCATTTCAAAGGAAATTGATGCCCTTTTTTTGCAGGTTGCCTAGTTGGGAAACTTTACAAGGGAGATTGGAAGTTGCAGCCAAACGTAGGAAAGCAACGAGACGCAAAGAAAGAACTTACTTGCCAGTCCTTTTTAATCTCTCCGACCGGAAGTTTTCGTAATGCAAATCCTGGGTTACTTCTTGGAGATCTTGCATGTGTGTCCTGAGACAAGAAACACAACAGGGGCTGGTCAGAATGGACATTAATCAATGGTATGTCTTCCATATGGCTTCTTTAAAAAGCTTTTCTGCAGACCGGACAACGCGGTTAGCAACAAACAGGACAAAATCTTCAAAGTGTAGCATGAAAATTGTCCAGTAGAGGGAACGCTTGGATTGGAATTTATTTTGTTTTCCAAAGACGCAAAGTGGGATTAAGAATAAACAGCCAGGAATTTCTCACTCTGTCTGTCTCTCTGCATCCATCCATCCATATCCATCTATTCATATTTATCAGAATATCCATTTCTTTCTTTTTCTTTCTTTTCCTTTCTTTCTACCCATCTATATCTACCATCCATATCTATATCTATATTTATATCTATATCTACCTACCCATCCATCCCTCCATCCCTATTTATCATATCTATTTCATATTTCTCCATATCTGCTTGCCTGCCTGCCTGCCTGCCTATCTATCATCTATCTATCTATCTATCTATCTATCTATCTATCTATCTATCTATCTATCTATCTA